CATATATATATATATATAATATGGGTTCTAAATGTCTCACTTTTTTATGAAATTACTTGCTAATACATCCATGAATAAATGTTTCAAACCGAAATCTATTAAGATAATCATACAATTATCATATTAGTAAAAGCCACATGTTATCAAATCTATCTCTTTATGTGCATTTTATTAGGTATCACAAGTTGAGATAAACATATTTACTAACCTGGCCCATTTAGTTCTTTTGGTGCTCTTGTAGATATTGTTACCTCTTTTTCATATTAATAAATTAATGGCATTGTGTTTATGCTTGATATGTCTCCTAGTGAGTAAGTACATAAAAAAATGTAACATTATTTTGTATTATCCAAACATCAGGCTTAATGCCATTTTTGACTTGAAGCACTTTTCACTGGTCATTCCTATTTTAATTATGATAGCTTATGCTTCTTTCAACCTTTCTCTTATTACACATATGTCACACATGGGTTTACATCATCTCATCCTTTATAATTATCCTTCTCTCATCTATGCTTTCACAATGATTGTTATAGAAAGGTACCATCAACTAGAAATTAAATCCTCACGCCTTTTTGATAGAGATGGTAGTTACATGACATTAAGTGTGGATGAATCTCATTATGATTTTATATTCTTGAGTGATCCTTTAGTACATAATATTTGAGAATATTGAAAAGCGTTAACTTAAAGAGGAGCTATTGCTAATGCAAAGAGCTTTCATATGAGAGAGAAATTAGTAAAGCATAGTGAAATAATAAATTTAGCTTTACACATAATAGTTAAAGAATTTCATGGTTTCGAATTGCCAATTAGACTTCACCAAAATATTACATCAATTAAAAAAAATAAATCATTAAAATATAATCCTAACTTTGACTATCACCCCCCTTAAGAAATTTATATTATTGAGTGAGCTTTTCGTTCAAATTATTTAATAACTTTTAAAATCTTTGATTTAAGTAGGATATATGACAAGTAGGAAAAGCTTCATTTGAGGGTTAGATTATTAAAGCACATAAAAAGTATTTAATTTAACTTCAAAGTGAATAGCTAAAAAATATTTCGGTGTTCAAGTATCAACTAGGCTTCACCCATATGTCTTAAAAACTTAATTTAAAATAAAAAGGTCATTAATATATAATCTGAACTTTGATCACCTTTGATGTATATCAAACTAACATTGATAGTTTTGAAATTCTATTTTTGTATTACATGATCATTTAATAATAATGTTTAAAAATAAAATGAGCAGTTAGTGCATCATTGGATGAACACAAGAATTCAAACTTTTTATGTTTATGAGTACACTATACGATTAAATAATGTATTCATTTTGAAAGATAGTGATCCAAAGGCCAAAAATCATAATATATATAATTTATAATCAAAATTTTCATGTATGTTTTTTTTTGCACAAAGTGCATTTCTATCTTCTATCATTTTTCAGTAGAATAATAGTAGATAATTGGTCTCTAGGGCTTGAGCAAATATTTTAATTTAAATATTTGAACATAACATATATTTATTCAAATTCCATAAAGCTCTGAGCATTCCATCATCATGAAAGGACAAAGAAACTTCAAACAAAATCTTTGAAAAATTAAATTATTTTATAATAGAAAATTATGCTTTGTTAGAATTTGGTAGAAAGATATATATATATATATATATATA